AGTATTTGCAGAGCCAGAACTTGTTCTCTCCATCGGTTGTGAGCTGCGCACCGTGTTTGTAGATTGGCGAGGGCTGGGTTTTAGAGTTAAGGGCCCGCTTATGAGGCTGACGATATCGAATCGACGGCAACACCTTCCTTTCATAGCGAATTTTGTCCCAGTCAATAGGGAAAGGGCATTGAGTAGATGTCGGCAGCTCTCTTTCGAAGGTGGCAGCAGTGTTGGTTGAAACGGAACTTGGGGTCTCTATGCTTTCTAGGGTATAGCTAAGGGATTCGGAGGGAGTCTTAGGTAGAGGGGAACCCGTGGATCCTCCACGAGGCTGAAAAAATGGGTGGGTAGGCATGTTTGGCCTAGAGTCTGGCGGTTTCGTACATTGAGGCTGCAGGCGTTAGAGTTTTCGACAGCAAATCTCAAGAGCGGCAATTTCCAGCCAATCAGAACATTCAGACTAATAGTTTTTCCTATCCCAATGCCCCAAAAAACTCTGGGTCGCCCACCTCCTCTACAAAAATGCCTAATGCGGTAAGGTCGTCAACCAACTTCGAGTTGACTCGAGTAATGCGAGAACCCTTACTTGTGGTTGCTCGGACAGACGTTTACTCGTGGTTGGTTGTTACGTAATCAACCAAAGTCAACCAACCAAGCCAAGTTACTTGGTTATTGGACACACTGATTTAAGCCTCAAAACCAAGCTGACGCAGAGGCGCTGATTTCAGATGAGAAGATTGACGATGTCTACAAGGTATGCGAGTGGGATTACACTAGCTAATAATTTGTATATAATTACAGTCACGATTGCAATCAAAACACCAGGAATTAATCAATCTTCAATCAGGATTACCTAAAACTTAACACTAAACAATCAATACAGGACGCGCGATCGCCAATTTTCCAATCAAGTCAGGATAGGCTCAAAATCCTGTTTTGTTTTGTTTGTTGACAAGTCTGGCTTTTAGGCATCGTAGTTGCCACTGTTGCCCTGGGTTATCTGATAGGTTTTTAAGCCTATAGATTGCTGCCTGATTGTCTGCGTAGATCTCAAATTCTTGATCTCTTGTAGCTGTCTTTGCTGCGTATTCAAAAGCTAGAGTAATACCTTCTAGTTCACCGTTGTAAACTAGCTGGTATTCCCCTATATTGGTCTTTTCTGAGTAGACCTCTTGCTGGGTTGAGTTGTAGGCTACTGTCAGATAGCAGGGTTACTCGACGTTAGCAGCAACCAATCAGCGTAGAGAGGGTCAGTGCGCCCCTCAAGAGGGCCACAAGCGCGGACACACGATAGACAGAACACAATACACACAATCATCAACATCCATCACTTTTGTGCAATATCTCATTATATCTGACAGCTACGATGCCAACACCTATACCATTTCCATCTTTTATTTGCGAGGCGTCTGAGTAGATTGTAGTGCAGTTATCTAGCCTTGTTTTAATGTAGGCCTTATGCTCAATTGCTTCCTCTTCCTTGCGTTTTTGTGAGATTGTTACTTTGTAGTTAGGCGTATCCCATGGTCTAAACTGGTATGGGATAGTCTGTTCTGTATCTCTTTTGTTGTTTTTAGGAATTGAATTAGTAATAGCTTGTAGCTGTCGGTGTTGGTCTGGCTTTTTTGTTTGTTGGGGGTTTGTTGATTGTATCCGGGTTATTGCATTAGCAATCGGGTGGGTACTAGCGAGCAGGTTTGCTCTTCTTGCGTAGTTCCGGATAGTTGTGTTGAGTCTAATTGCTGGTGGCGGTAGGCTAGCTTCTATGCTGTCAGCCCTCAGGGGGTGTGTCAACTAGAATGTTCTACTATCGTCACAGCTACGTAACACACTGCTGATCTGGAATGCTCCAGATACTCTACTTCATGTATATAGTCGCTCTCTGCAGCTCTCTCAATAAAACAACCTTCTCTCTCATCTCTCCTCCGATCTAACATAAACCATAACCATGATACGTTTGGCTTCACAAAACTCCAAAAATTTGGGCGTAAGGTGGCTGGCGTGCCCGTCAAGGATCAGAAGGCGCCATTGACGGCGAGCTTTGGCTGCTGTATAACGTTCGAACACCTGTTGAAGCCAGGCAAGACCCAACTCGTTGTTGGACCATCCCGAAGCCGAGTGGGATACAAATACTTGGTGTTGTTGGGTCTCCAAAAGGTCGTGAACCCAGCTTAATTGAACCCCGGAGGTGCCCTGGTAGATAAGAGCGGGCGGCAATGCATCTCCAGAAGCACATACGCAAGCTAACAGCGTAATCCATTGTCACGGTTTGGGGTCTCTCCTGCAGTCGCAACTCACATTTGTAATGGAACGATGCCTATTTGGGACTAGCACGGGTGACGTCACCCATCTACATAAACTTTCCATAGCTTGTACAATACAACCTCAGTTCAATCCTTCAATTCTCCGCACATGCGCACTGTCACTCACGCACATCATTCTCTGTGCATCCCTCATCGCTAGGTAC